ATTGTAAAAACAATGCAAACGAAAGGCTAATCCATCTTTTGGGACTTGGCCATAGTCATGCTATCATTTTAATGAAATCTATGGTGAATCTTGATTCATCCGTCCCTTTCACTATATTTTAATTTAATTATAATATCCTTCTTGAGATTTTTTTCGTGTAACATGTATGCTCTTCGTTTTGCATGTAATAGAGGTTCACTTCATTTTATTTAAGTTCTCCGTAACTAAACTCATTTTCTGACAAAAAATGACCAACTAGCTTGTTGGATCGTATAATTCGAAAAACGAATGAAAACACAGTGCAAACCTCCAAAAATATTATTCTCTCTGAGCCAGTTTATGTGATGGAGTTTGACTCGACATGAAGTTTAAGAAAAAAAAAACTTTTGTACTTATGGTCCTAAACCTACAATAAAATTTTTGTCACCATAAAAGCATATTGCCATTTAGAATAAAATGAAATTTTTTAAGTTGCATTATTTCCAAAAAAAATGTGTCATTCTTTTTGAACGGACTAATAAGAATAATGCCACATAATATGTATTATTGGGAGTATTAAAGATAACTTCTTTATAACTTGCTAAGTATTTTGGAAGAAACAAATGAAAAATGCATCAGAACACGTTATTTTTTGTACCTCATTTAAAAAAAGAAACAGGGTCCGGGGAAGGGCCATACCCCAAGGAGTATGATGTAGACAACCTACCCTAATGCAAGCATTAGTGGCTGCTCCACGGCTTGAACCCGTGACCTATAGGTCACAGAGAGACAACTTTACCGTTGCTTCAAGGCTCCCTACTTTTTGTGCCTCCTTCTGTAATTTTTTATTTCTATAGATATTTCAAAGTATTGTTGTCTAAAGACAAAAGTTGGTCAAACTATGGAGAAAATAAATTAGTTTACTGAAAACTTCTAAATTATGTCTGTATGTGTTGCGTTCCACAGAGAGTCGGCATGGATGCCTACAAATCCTGCCTTTACACCTCAAGATGAGATTAAAAAATGTGCTATAATATATTTAGGGAAACAATGTGCTTCTCAATAAATATTTAGGTCAACTCCTACTAGCAATTTCAAGACAACATCCCTCTAGAGAGTCAAAACTATTAATTTTAGTTTAAACAAATGCTTACTCATAAATCCTAATCTATATAAAAATTATCAGTCGATTTGAATGGAAAGAAGTAAAGTAATTAGGGTGAATAAGATGACTTCAATATTCAAAACTCTCTTACTTTTGCTCAACTTACAAAAGTAGGTTGCATCATAAAGCAAATCTGCCAACTCAAAAGTTAAACACACCACATATGCACACAAATCTTGATAAAGAAATAAGTCAGCAATGACATTAGTTTACTGTAATTGAGCAGACAGCTAAAAGAAGACATTTTCAATACCTTTAAGAGCAAGAAAAAAAGATATATATTGATGGACTGATGCAAGCAAAGGGATAAAAAAAAAAAAAAAAGAAAATAAAGGGGGAGGTTGAACATGCACTGCACTTTGATTTTTGAATATTTCAAATTTCAATCAATAAAAAGATTTATTGAAAACACTCCCATCTTCCTGACAACCTTTTTCTTCTTGGTACAAAAGAAAATTCTAAAAAGCACATGCATGATCTTTTTTTTTGGTTGTTGATGACCCATAGCTGACTCATGCATGCAACAATTAGTTAAAAGATTCATCAACTTCTCCCAAACTCCTATATATATATAGTGCTACAAGGATTGTTCTTAAACCATCAACCAAAACTTAAATATTTCTCACAATACAGCAATATTCCACCGCAAAATCAGAATCACAATGAAGAACTTACTCAGTGGAACTGTGGTGGGTATTCCCATGAGTTCAGCAGTATGCTCACTTGAAAGGCAGCCAAAAAGACTACTGGTTCTATCTGCAAGTGAAGACCATATTATTCCATATGCAACTTCAAAGAACTTTTCTAAAATAAAGCAAAGTGAGTATTTCATCTGTCTCATGATGAAGAATCAACTTGATCTTGTCGTATGACCCTAGAATGAAGAGATCATAAAAATAAAAATATTCTTGAATATGCAGGAAATTCTGTCATTAGTAAGATGAACAAATTCGGAGAAAGGATGGACTGTCTTGCACAAGGCATCCGTGAGCATGGTAAGCACTTATATTCTCCATAAAAGACTTCAAAATATTTATTGAAAATATTACTAAGACAATATTTTGTTTAAGTTGAAACAAAAAAGTATTTGAAATTGAAATTGAAAAATAGTATTTGGAAGTTGAAATTGTGTCTGGACATTAGTTCTCCGTGGAAAAATTATTACGGTTTTGCGAGTAAAAAACAATTATCTCACTTGAAATGCTACTCAGACAAGCTTTTCAATATTTCACCCGTCTTTTAAATGCTAAAAAGTTCCACTATCTGCAAATACGGATGGCCAAACTTCACCTTCAGTATTTGCAAGTGAAGTCATGGCCAAACACTAGTGTAAATCTAAAGAACACAGATATGTGAGTCAATGAAGTACACAAATTCGTGCAAGAAGCACAATTTACATGTATATACCGTAGAAAGTATTGGTTGTAATGTCCTTTATTTGTGCAGTGAGCCTAAGCCCGAAACTAACAGAAACTGTGAAGGGAAAATTGAGCCTTGGGGCAAAGATTCTTCAAGTAGGAGGGTTGGAGAGAATATTCAAGCAGAAGTTTAGTGTTAGAGATGATGAAAAGCTATTGAAAGTTTCTCAATGCTATTTATCAACGACAGCTGGTCCAATGGCAGGCCTTTTCTTCATCTCTACTGATAAGATTACTTTCTGCAGTGAGCGATCAATAAAGCTCTTATCTCCAACTGGAAAGTTGCTTAAAATCCGTTACAAGGTACCCCTCTGCTCTGGTTTTCATTCATCTCTATTTTTCTAGCCATGTAAAGCATAATCTAATAGGCCGGTTCATAATTGCAGGTATCAATCCCAATAAGTAAGATAAAGGAAGCAAAAGAGAACGGAAATAGGGAAAAGCCATCACAGAAGTATATACAAGTAGTTACAAAGGATGATTTTGAGTTTTGGTTTATGGGATTCCTTAATCATCAAAAAACTCTAAGATATCTACAGCAGGCAATTTCAAGCTCTTCCAGCAAGCTAAGAAGATAGTTTTTTTCTCCCTTTCTTTTTTCATTTTGTTTCCAAATTCGCCCATTCATCAATGTAAAATGTTGATGCAGAAACGAATTTACAGATTTGTTCAAACTTGTAACTAGCTCCATTGCTCAAGGGAGGTCTTAGGTTTTGTAGGCTTTGAGCATTGGGAGTTAATACGGATGTATAGACTTATTGTAATACTAATGCAAACGGAAGGATAATTCATGTTTTTGGGACTTGGCCATAGTCATCCAACCATTTTCATGAAAAGCTAGAGTGAATCTTGATTCATCCATCCCGTTCATATCATCCCCACAGCATAATCACACACCAACCATAATCTATAAAGAGTGTATCTAACAGTTGGGTGGTGTCAAATATCTCAAACTACCTCAATAGTTCAAACCCTAGTACTTGGGTGAAAATTTGGCAGAATAGGGTATCCAACAAAAATCTAAGATTTGAGAGTTAAATCATGTGTTATTGTAACGACCCGGCCGGTCGTTTTGAGTATTATAGCCCCGTTTTCCCATTTACTGCTCAATTTATGCTTTATAGTCGTTTTAAAACTTACCGGGTTAGTTGGTTCGAGTCCGGAGGGAATTCGGAGTGAAATGATACACTTAGTCTTATAATTGAAAATTTTAAGTTAGAAAAGTTGACCGGATGTGGACTTATGTGTAAACGACCTCGCATTTGAATTTTGATGATTCTAATAGCTCTGTATGGTGATTTTGGACTTAGGAGCGTGTCCGAAAAAATATTTGAAGGTCTGTAGTGGAATTAGACTTGAAATGGCGAAAGATGAATTTTTGGAAAGTTTGACCGGGAGTTGACTTTTTGATATCGGGTCGGAATCCGATTCTGAAAATTGGAATAGCTTCGTTATGTCAACTATGACTTGTGTGCAAAATTTGAGGACAATCGGACTTGATTCGATAGGTTTCGGCATCGAATGTAAAAGTTGGAATTTCTTAGTTTCATAAGCTCGAATTGGGGCATGATTCGTGGTTTTAGCGTTGTTTGATGTGATTTGAGGCTTCGACTAAGTTCGTATGATGTTTTAGGACTTGTTGGTATATTTAGTTGAGGTTCCGAGGGGTTCGGGTGAGTTTCGGAGTGGTTTCGGACTATTTCTAAGCCATTCTTAGTTGCTGGTTTTCGGCCATAGAGGTATTCATCGCGATCGCGGACAAATAATCGCGATCGCGAAGAGCAATTTTGCTGTTTGGACACTGTGAATCGCGATCGCGGAAGCCTTTTCGCGATCGCGTAGAGGAAAATCCTGCTGCACTAACCCGACTTTAGAAGCTTATATCTCGCAATCTATAAGGAATTCGGAGATGATCCAAAAATGAAAGTTGTAGCCCTTTGTGTCTAGTATTCAGAAAGTTAAACCATTTGTAATTTAGAGTTTTGTACAAATTGTTATGACCATTATAGTAGAGGCTATCTGGAAGAGCTGGGCACTTGTTCTTCGCGATCGCGAAAGGCAAATTTTGGGCTGGAAATTTTTGTGTTTCGCGATCGCGAAGTGTAAAAGACTGGACAGAAGATAAAATCGTGGGTTATGGTTTCTTTCTCCATTTTCGGATTTTGGAGCTCGGATTTGGCGACTTTGGAGAGGAAATTTTTCACACAACTTGGGGTAAGTGTTCTTGACTCCCTTGTGATTACATTCCATGAATTAATCTTCGTTTTTGGCGTTAGATTATTGATTTTTCAAGAGAAATCGGAGGAATTTCTACAATTTTATAAAATGAATTTTCGAGATTTGAACACCGATTCGGAGTCGGATTTGAGTGAAATTAGTATGGTTGAACTTTTAATTGGATGAGTTGTCGGATTTTGTGAGTTTCGTCGGATTCCGAGACGTGGGCCCCACTGGCTTTTTTTTAGCTAAATTTCGGATTTTTATGAAAAATTAGCATTTTCTTATGGAAATAATTCCAATAAATTTTATTGACTAAATCGAATTAATTGTGGCTAGATTCGAGGCGTTTGGATGCCAATTCACAATGCAAAGGCATAGCGAAATTACACGGTTTGAGGTATGTAACACTTCTAAACTTGGTTCTGAGGGTATGAATCCCCGAAATTTGGTATGATATAAATTGTTTGGAGGTGACACACACGATAGGTGACGAGCATTTAGAAGTGCACCACAAAAATTGTGTCTTGAATAAATCCTGTGCAGTTGTAAAATTAATGAATCATGTTATTATCTGAACATGTTCCACGTGTTAGAGAAATTGAGCCGAGACTCTTATTAAATATCGTGTTTAAGCTATGTGCCAATATTTTGGGACCCATGGGGTCGTGTTGCTGTTGAATTAATTGTTTAAAAAATATACATTTCACACTCAGTCATATTCGTCCATTGTGAGGATATTTATGGGATCGAGCTGCACGCCGCAGCAGGCCATATTGGCTTTATATATGTTATCAATAAATGGACCGGGGTTGCCCGCCTGCAGCAGTCCAGAATGGCTTTATACATTATTATTATATGGATCGGGGTTGCCTGCCTGCAGCAGGCCTTATAGGCTTTAATATTTTATGNTATAGGCTTTACTATTTTATGGATCCGGGTTGCCCGCCTGTAGCAGGCCTCATAGGTTTTGTTATTATACGGATCGGGACTGCCCGCCTGCAGTAGGCCATATAGGCTTTCTATCACGCTTGGGCTGAAGGAGCCCCTCCGGAGTCTGTACACACCCCCAGTGAGCGTAGATGATTATATATATTCGGAATGGATTTCCCAGGGCATGGACTTGCGTTACTTATTTATATTGTAATGAATTCACCTGGACATGGATCTTGTCCGTATCATTTACATTTGGGGATAAATTACCCCATGGCTGGATTGGTCTTATATGGTACTGAGTGATTGACTGTCAGTCGATGTGTATATATATACGGGTTGGAACACCCCTGGGCTACATTGGCCATAAACAGTACCGAGTGACCGAATAATTGGTGACCAGTATTTACTTGAGGTCTTTCTACTGAGATGTCGTATTTCTCATATCATGCAGTATTGATCTATTTCACTTGTACTGAGTTTAACTGTTGAACTTGAAAGCATGCCTACATTGTTGTACCATTATTTATACTGGAATGTACCTGCGAAGCTCGTCACTACTTTCAGTCCAGAGGTTAGTCTTGTTACTTATTGAGTTAGTTGTATACATACTACACTCTGCACCTCGTGTGCGGATCCAGGTACTCTCGAATACGGCGGCTGCTAGATTTCGAAGTTAATTCTATTGGGGACTATCAAGGTAGCTGCTTGACGTCTGCAGACTTGATTCCCTTCCTGTTTAATTATTGTATTGTTCTATATTTTCAGACAGTGATTTTGTCAGTCAGACTTTGTATTCATATTAGATGCTCATGTACTCAGTGACACCGGATTTTGAGAGTGTTATATTTGTATTTGTGAGATATTTTCCGCTGAATTTAATTATTTTATTTTTAAATTTAAAAGATATGGTGGTTTATTAAGATTGTGGGCTTGCCTAAGATTGAGATAGGCGCCATCATAACTGGTGAGATTTTGGATCGTGAAAGTTATTATAATAGGAATAGCTTAAATCAAGTTAAATACGACTTACCTTGAAATTCAGAAGAAGTGGGGAGTGATTTCATCTTCTTGGACCAAGTTAGGGGTGTGGGAGTCAAGAAAAGTGATAAATCGTTATAGTTGCACATGTGAATAGCTTTGCTGCCATTCACTACTAGAAATCCGGTAAAAACCGACCAACGTTGGTCGGTAATGGCCAAAAACCGACCAAAACGCGACCATTTACGTGTGGACGATATTTTTTGTTGTCGGAAAGGCATACCGACCAAAGTTGGTCGGAAATTACCGACCAACTTTGGTCGGTCAATTAAATTCAGAAAAAAAAAATATTGCAAAAAAAAACCGACCAAAGTTGGTCGGTATTTTAATTATGTAATAAAAAGATTCACTATCTGGGAATCGAACAGGGTTCTGTACTGTGGTAGGATACTATGCTACCACTAGACCATTGGTACATTTTGTTTTAAGACTGTCTTTTATTTGATTTATACTCTTTAATTATATTTTCGCACGAAAATAACCGACCAAAGTTGGTCGGTTTTATTAAAAAGTAAAATTACCGACCAAAGTTGGTCGGTTTTTTTAAATGACCGGTCGAATTAACCAACCAATTTTGGTCGGTTTTTTTAATATTAATTTTTATTTATTTTAATTGAAAAACCGACCAAAGTTGGTCGGTTTCTTGAAACATAAATTTCGCGGGACTCAAAAATAGTTTCCCGCATTTTTGCGCCAAAGAAAACCGACCAAAGTTGGTCGGTTTCGTAAAAAATAAAAATTAAAAAAAATATTTTGAAAAACCGACCAACTTTGGTCCGTTTTTTTGACCGACCAAAGTTGGTCGATCGACCTTGGTCGGTTTTTGCCGAATTTCTAGTAGTAATTGCAGGCCTTGTGCAGTGATAGCAACACTGAAGATTTGAGATCCCAGGAAGAAAGCGGTGATAGCGGTCCTTGGGATCGTGTTCACAATTTATGAAGTTGAGCTCAATACCTCAGCCAGCTCATAGAGTGGCGATTGCAGCAACCGGGCTCAGGATTGTGATTTTTGAGCTTGGGCTTACTACCTCCCAGACCTTGCCTTGCTGCGATCGTGAGTCATGTGTTGTGATCGCAACTTCCTTTGTTACCATGCAAAGATCACTAATGTTGTGATTGTGGCTCCGCAATTGTGCTCATAGCACCAGTTCATTTTGACCAGTGTTGCCCTTTTCTCACCCACAGTCCGCTTTGATCCCCGTAGCGAGCCAGCAAACAGCCTTAAGGCAAAACTTATAGCCATGTTTTAAACACCCACACCATCCAACTAACTCAATTTAGTCCCGAGCATGCAATCCAATCTCAAATGCCTCCTACTTGGAATTGCAAGATTAATTGGAGAAGAAATGTCACTTTTTTTGACTTTAGTAGTATGAAAACAATCCAACTATTAGTTTTATTTTAAATAAATGCTTATTCAATCCTTTTACACATAAATGATTATCAACTCAGAGCCACAAAGAAGGGACATACGATAATACCAATTGAAATTTTAAGTTTTAGAAGAAACTACAACAACAACAACAAAAAACCCAATAGTTTTCCACAAGTGGGGGTCTGGGGAGGGTAAGATGTACGCAGCCTTACCCCTACCCCTGGAAGGGAAGTTTTAGAAGAAA